TTTGAAAATTGATTAATTTTTCATTAAGTGATTTAAAATTTTGATAGATATACAAAAAAAAATACATAATTATATTATTAAATCATAATTCAAATTTAGATGTTATATCTTTTTGAGATTTATAACTAAATTCTTATATATATTTTATTATATTATTTTTTTTTTGTGTGGGTGTGTTGTGTTTGTAAAAAAAACCCCGCAAAAGGATTCTTCGCGTTTTGGGAGAGTCTTTTTATATGCTTAGTTTTTTTTTTGTTTTTTTTTTTTTGGGTTTTTTTTTTTTGAAAATTTGTGAGAGAGATTAGGAGGGAGAGATTATGAAATATTTTTGTTATTAAATAAATAAATCAGTCAATGGTTTTTTTTAATCTATTTTGTAAATTAAAAATCAATAATTTTAATAAATTGATTAATTTTTCCCATTAAGTAATTTAAAATTTTGATAGATATACATAAAAAATACATAATTATATTATTAAATCATAATTCAAATTTAGAAGTTATATCTTTTTGAGATTTATAGCTAAATTCTTATTTTTATTTTTTTATTTTTGTGTGTAACCATAGTGTATGGAAGAAATTGAAAAGGGTGTTGCAATAATTATGAGAGAAGTCAAAAGGGATTGCGGGTTGGGAGAAGTCAATAAATGCTGAGATTTTTTTTTTGTTAAATCAAAAAATTAGAAAATTAGGATTAGGAGATTGTAGCTCCCATAGGCCTTGGGGTTAAAAACCTCATTTTACTTAATATATAGTATAGATACTAGTATATCACCCGTGCTATGTACGGATTGTGTTTACAATTATCTATATATGTGAATTGTGATTTTTAAATATTTTTTTTTGAAATGTCTTCTTTTTTTCCTTTTTTATATTATATTAAAGTTTAATATTTTGATAATAATCACATGTGTTGGACTTTTCAAAGAATTAAATGTCTTTTTTTTTATTATACTATATTAAAGTTTAATATTTTGATAATAATCATATGTGTTGGACTTTTGAAAAAAAAAAATTTATGCTTGTTGTTAATGCTTAAAGTGTTATTATGAGGGATAATAATCATGTGTTGGGACTTTTCAAAGAATTCTTATGTGTTGGATTTCAACGAATTTTTTTTATGCTTGTTCTTAATGCATTAAAGTGTTATTATGAAGGTAAGACTTGGATTTGGGAAAAGTTAATAAATGCTAAGTTTTTTTTTTTTTAAATCAAAAAGAGTAATGCTAGAGACCCCAAATATTCTACCAAAAATTTTACCAAATGTCTCACATGGGTGTGGGACCCACACAATGTGGGTCCCATGTGGGTCCCACATCCATGTGAGACATTTGGTAAAACTTTTGGTAGAATTTTTGGGGCCTCTAGCATTTTTGAATCAAAAAATCAAGAAATTTAGATTGGGAGATTGGAGCTCCCATAAAACTTAGGGTTAAAAACCCCCTTTTACTTAATATATAGTATAGATATATAAATATAGATATAGATATAGATAATATACATGTCTATTTTTAGATATTTTTTATCAATCAATTATCTTCTTAACACATTACTTTAATAGTGAGCCTACCCCTTAGACGTAAATAGTAATACTCAAAATAAAAAGAATGAAGGAAATCTTTGATTTCTTTTAATATGATTTGTCGACATTTTGACTTTTTATAAACAACCCTTCTCAAGCAATGTCATATAATATTTTGATTGTCTAATATTATTTCATAAATGGAAATTCAAAAATGCTAGAGGTTCTAAAAATTCTATCAAAAATTTTATCAAAGGTCTCACATGAGTGTGGGACCCACATGGGACCCATATTGTGTAAGTCCCACACCTATGTGAGACATTTAGTAAAATTTTTGATAAAATTTTTAGGGTCTCTAGCATTACTCATGAAAATTTGTATTCACAAATAGAACCTGTATTTAATGTTTTCACACTGTAGATGAGGACAGTTTTCACTTACTCACTATTTAATTTAAATTTGTTTTTACCTTTTTCATCATCTATTGAGATTATCATTCTCTTATCCATAAATTTGTTTTTGCCCTTTTCATCATCTATTGAGATTATCATTATCTTATCCATGGTTTATGACAAAATGCTATATCTACACTACCGTCGCCATGTCAAATCTCACAAAATTATATCAATTAAGAATATCTCCAATAGTTCATCAAAATTTTTATCAAATCTATGTAAAAAAGTGACTTTTTTCTCATTCTGATACGGAGGGCTCGAATGGTTCATCAAATCAAATTTTCATCAAATCTGTGCCGGGACAACTGGTTGGTCGACCGGCCGGTTGACCGGTGAAGGCAAATTTTTTTTTTGAATTGTTTGAACCTTTTCAGTGAACTGTCTGAACCTTTTTCCGGACGACCGGTAAGGCAAAAATTTTTATTTATTTTTTTAACTGTTTGAGCTTTTTTTTTGGCACTGTTTGAACCCTTTAGTGGTCAACCGGCCGGTCGACCGGTTGGTTTCCCCCAACAGTCAGGAACAGTAATTTGGTGAAATGCTGCGCCTGTTCTCATTTTGGTGAATTCTCGATTTGATATCGATTTGGTGAAACCGTTAGAGCTCAAAAAAGTGGCTTTTTTACCAAATTTTAAATTTGATGCCAGATTTAGTGAAGTGTTGGAGATGGTCTAACCAATCCCAGTTTCTCACAACTTGAGCAAATCAGGGCTTGGTTTATTCTCACGTAAAATATTTTACATAGACAAATATTTTTTTATAAATTAATTTTACATAAAAAATCTTTTTTATTTTTATTTTTCAGCGTTTGGTTGACACTTGAAACAAAAATATTTTATTGTTTAAAAGATAAATTTTGATTCAATAAAGCATCGTTTATGACTTTTTAGTGACCTAAGGCCCTCTTTGTTTCACTAGATATAAAATGGAAAATATAATATGATGTGAGATTTAGTCAGATATATAATAAATAGGATATATGTATTGGATAATATATCCCCCAATTCATGTTTGTTGACTTCATGTATAAGACTAGATATGTATTATCCATGTTTATTTTACAAAATATATTATGGGATATAAATAAGTAATTTTCAAGATTGCCCTTATAATATATTTTAAATACCCATATTGGAACTAATGCAAATAAAAAAATTAAAAATTCAGAACTAATGCAAATAAACAAATTAAAAATTCATATTATTTTTTATTGGAACAAATTAAAGATTCATATTAAATTCAATAATTTTTTCAAACAAAAAATTATATAATAAAGTGACAATTCATGTTTGTTGACTTGATATATAAGATTGGATATATATTATCCATGTTTGTTTTACAAAATATATTGTGGGATATAAACAAGTAATTTCCAAGATTACCCTCATAATATTATATTATATTAAATTAAATTAAATAATATTATATTATATTATATTATATTCAAAATTTATGTTAAATTATATTATATTATATTAAATTCAATAATATTAAATTAAATTAAATTCAATAATTATGTTATATTAAATTAAAAAATTATATTATATTATATTAGATAGAAATTGAACTTTTTAAATCATGAAATAATGGGGGTGGTGGTATTGAATATTCTCCAATTTTGGAGGATATATAATCCCATAGTATATTATATCCTCTTTAAAAAAAATTACAAACATGGGATATGTGGACCCCACAGTATATAATATTCAGTTCCACGCTTTATGTCCTGAAATCAAACGGGGCCTAAGATTTTTATTTGGGCTAAATGTATTGAAAAAGTAGTGAGTCAGAGTTAAGTTTGTAAAAATCAACTTGCAAAAATTTTAAAAGTAAGTCATTTTTGAAAAAATGATACACAAATATTTTTTTCCAAAAATGTCTTACTTAGTTTTTGTTAAAACAAACAACGAAAAATAAGTAAAATGTTTTTAAGAAAAAAACAAATAGAGTTCAAATATAAATAAATTTTAAATGACTATGTAACAATATTAATGTTGTGATTATGTAAATCAATTGTGAGTTTGGGATCAATTTAAAGAAGTCATGTTTTTTTCGAACTCCTTGTCTGTATTTTTTTTTTTTTTAAAAAATTATTTCAAAATATTTTATTTAAAAAAAATCTTAAAAAATGAAAAAATCTATAAAAAAAAATTACTGAAGACAAATTCTTGACTTTTTTTTTTTATTTTTAATAAAATTTGTTCATATATAATATACATAATTTTGTTCATCTAGTCAAGTATAATTTAAAAATATAATTTTTTTAAAAAAAAAATTAAAACCAGACACACCTTAAGTCCTAAAAAAATAAACAATAAAAAATATACCTACCCAAACTCAAAGAGTTTTGCTATAAACACATAATTAGTTTACATAATCAATAATAGATGAGACACAAATAAATCTCACATATGAGTCCCACCCTTCCCTTTGTGTCTCAAATTTTTTATGCCAATAAGGTATTATATGATATTATCTTTTATTACTCATAAATATGTATTTTTTATTATTTTTCATCTTATTGTCAAAATCAATCATAATAATAAAAGGTACCACATGATATATACCCTATCTCAAAAAAAAAAAAAAATTACTCTACCATTTCTGTACAATTAGCTTTTTTCCAAATTCAAATCAAATTCGATTTATCTCAAATTTATGTAAAAATCCCACTAATGATAATCCACATCCAATTGGGTTACAATATTCTCTCTCTATGTATAGTTAGGTCCAATTGGGTTACTCCGCTATTTCTGTACAATTAGTTTTTGAGTAATATTAGAAATTTTAAATAATTTATTAAATTTTTTATTAAATCTCTCATATAAGTGTAGACCTCATACTTATATAAGAGGTTTGATAAAAAAATTAAATAAATTATTTAGAGTTATAGCATTTTTCTTAGCCTTTTTTCCAAATTAAAATCAAATTCGAATTTATCTCAAACTTATGTAAAAATCCCACTAATGATAATCCACATCCAATTGGGTTACAATATTCTCTCTCTCTAGGTCAGGTCCAATTGGGTTACTCTGCTATTTCTGTACAATTAGATTTTTTCCAAATTCAAATCAAATTCGAATTTATCTCAAATTTATGTAAAAACCCACTAATGATCATCCACATCCAATTGGGTTACAATATTCTCTTCTCTCTCTATATATAGGTCATGTCTCATTTACCTTTCTTTGAGACTCTAGTTTCTGGGTATTCTGGTTTATTGGATTTTATTTATTCTTCTGTGTTATTGTTCACAGAGAGAGAGAGAGAGAGTGAGAGAGAAATGGAGATTGATCTGTCACCGAAGTTAGCGAAGAAGGTGTACGGAGGAGATGGAGGGGCGTACTACGCCTGGTCTCCGGATGAGCTTCCTATGCTCCGTCAAGGCAACATTGGAGCAGCCAAGCTCTCCCTTGACAACAATGGCTTCGCTCTTCCTCGCTACTCTGATTCCGCCAAGGTCGCTTATGTTCTTCAAGGTATATAACATAACTTATATCCCAATTTCTGTTTATATATATATACACACACACGCATGTCTAGTTTCAGAATTGTGTTCCATTTTGGTATGTGGGTATATCTGGATTTTTTTTATATTGGTTTGTTATTTTGTGGGTTTTTGTTTTTTTTGGCTTTTTGATTTTTTTTTTTTTATCATTTTAATTCAGTTTTTTAAGTGTTCTGTGATTGGTTTCTCAATTGAATTTTCCTCTATTGAATTTCTAATTTGTTTTAGAATGAGTGATTTGAATTCATGGGTCTGATGTTTCATCAGTGATCAATGTTCAAGTAGAGTGGTTACTGGTCAAGTCCTTTGACTAGTGAGTCCTCTTATATCCGCTTAAAATTTGAATTACTTCTTGTTGTTATCGAAATGCCACTCTGAATTTAAGCTGATTTTTTCACACACACAGACACTTGCATATATCTGTAATCTGTATACCATGTGTATGCATCAGTCTGTGGTATGTACCCTCTAAGGGTTTGTTAAGACGTGATGTGATCCAAGTTAGAACAACACTAATCACATCGAGTTGACTTTGAGTTATTGGAGTTATGATAAAATGTTGTTGGGTAATACTTTTGAGCACATTGTGTCGTAGTTTTGAGTGAGGGGTGTGTGTGATGCATATTCATGCTACAGATTTTACCTATATGTCAATATATTTGGTTAATTCACTAGAATTTGGTTTGGGTTATTTATTTATTTTTGGAAAAAGAAAGATATGTTGTCTCTGATTAACAGGTTAGCATTCCGTTCATCTCCGTGGATATGCCAGACACTTCTTTTTGTCCAGAGATAATTCTTTTAGCAATTTTTTTTAATAGAGATCAGGAACTTGGAGTTTGTGTGAGAATTGCATGGTTTGGTTTTATTGTTTTGGCATCAATTATGGGGAGTCATGACAATAGAAACTATAAAAGGCTTTTCCTTCTTGTGAAGGATGAACTTTTGTTGTTTCTTTTTGCATAATGTTGTCGATTTGTTATTTAGTCAATTAATTTTTTTTTATTATTGTTATGCTAATGTTTGGCCTTGGTTTTATAGTAGATTTACATCCTCTCTTTCTTTTCTTTTTTATTTTCTTTCTTTTTATCTTTTTTTTTTTTTTTGGTTGTTGTTGTGGTAATAGTGAATGAATCTGAATATTTTGTGACACCTTTTGTTTGGCCAGTGACAAGTATTTGTCTTCACCAAACACCCTTCCTTGTTAAGAGAGCTTGATTAATTGTTTTGAATACCTCTAGTAATGTTGGTACTGTGATGTCTAAATTCACCATAGTTGGATATGGGTTCTTATAATGATTAGGTTTCCCAATTCTGTGAATCTATCAGGGTTCTGGTTTTCGCAGGCTTTTCCAAATTCGAATTTGGAAAATCACTTTAATTGCTGTAAGGAACTTGTATGCTGATTTTGCCCTTACTCAAACCTGTTTTCTCACTTGTTTATTTGATCTTTGCGATGTTTAGGTAAAGGTGTTGCCGGAATTGTCCTCCCTGAGAAAGAGGAAAAGGTGATTGCGATAAAGAAGGGCGATGCAATTGCCCTCCCTTTCGGTGTTGTCACATGGTGGTACAACAAGGAAGACACCGAACTTGTCATCCTCTTCTTGGGTGATACCTCAAAAGCCCACAAATCCGGTTCCTTCACTGATTTCTTTCTAACGGGCTCCAATGGCATCTTCACGGGCTTCTCTACTGAGTTTGTGAGCAGAGCATGGGATTTGAAAGAAGATGTTGTCAAAACCCTTGTTGCGAAGCAAACCGGCAATGGTGTTGTCAAGCTTGAAGCGGGTTTCAAGATGCCCGAGCCCAATAACCAACACCGTGATGGGATGGCATTGAATTGTGAGGAAGCTCCGTTGGACGTTGACATTAAGAAAGGTGGGAGGGTCGTGGTTTTGAACACCAAGAACTTGCCTTTGGTCGGTGAGGTTGGACTCGGAGCTGATCTTGTGAGGTTGGATGGCAGTGCTATGTGCTCTCCTGGTTTTTCTTGTGATTCAGCTTTGCAGGTGACTTATATTGTTAGGGGTAGCGGCCGGGTTCAGGTTGTTGGGATTGATGGAAAACGGGTCTTGGAGACAACTCTCAAGGGTGGCAATCTGTTTATTGTGCCGAGGTTTTTTGTTGTTTCAAAGATTGCTGATCCTGAGGGAATGGAGTGGTTCTCCATCATCACCACTCCTGAGTAAGTATTTCTTACACAATGCTGCTTCTTGTTTGTTATTTGTCTGATGAATTACATAGGGCTTCACACAATTTTTCACCCGTCAGTCCTTGATCTAAATTGGGCTTTGCTCAAATTTTGAATCAAATTAGATGAAAAAATTAGTGAAGGGTTGGAGATGCTTTAAAGAGAATAACCAAATATTGGTCTGTTTGGTAGTGTGTTGTTTGATTCATTTTTGTTTTTCATGTTTTGGGCTTCACTTTTTTTTTTTTCCCAGCAGTCCTCGGTCTAAATATAATTCCTAACATTTGGTTACTAATAAAAAGAGAATAGATGAAAACAAAATTGGTCTGTTTGGCAGTGTTTTCGCTTTATTCATTTTTATTTTCCATGCTTTTGGAAACAAAGAGCACATATTGTTTTTATATCATTTTCATTAACCCTTTTGAAAATTCAGAACTAGTTTTTTCGAAGTTTCCTTTGAAGTGAGTTATTTTCTGAAAAAAATTCCCAAAACATTTTGCCAAACAAACTCTCTATGCTTTTCCAGAGAATAATAAAACATAGATGAACTATTTGTTTAACATGTCTCTAATACTAATAATATATATTGTGTATTGCAGTCCGATTTTCACTCATTTAGCAGGAAGTATTGCACCATGGAAGGCCTTGTCACCGGAAGTGGTCCGAGCTTCTTTCAACGTTGATTCGGATGTAGAACAGCAGTTCCGGTCGAAGAGGGCTAAAGAAGCCATCTTCTTCCCTCCTCCAAACTGAGAAATGGATTAGCGCTTCCTGTTTTCAGTTTCAAATCATATCTTAGTTTGGTACTTTTTCCGTTGTGTTTTCTTTCTGAGGTGGTGTTTGGGATGGATATTACAGAACATAAATATTTCTTTTTTGCTTGGATTTTATTTTATTTTTCAATACAAAGTAAATGTTTATTAATTAGTGAAGAATTGGGTATTGTGAAACTGTTGCATGTGTTTTTTTTTTTCTTTTCCCTGGCTGAACTAATCTCAGTACACGTAGTCCCTCTTATAATTTTGAAGGGATTAGAAGTCAAATTATATAGATTTGGGGACCAATTTGAGCAACCTTCACGCTATTTTGAGTGTCAATAGGGATATTTATCAGGTGGTATTTGAATCGAATGTGATTGGTGTCAATGACAGTATTTGTGAGGATGTAATTGATTCATATGGAGGTTGTATTGATGTTTTATCAATTAATATGAAGTAAGACCATCTCCAACCCAAAACTAAATGTTTCATCAAATTTATTGATGAAAAAATTTATCTTTTGCTGCTTTAACCCGGCACCAAACATTTCATCAAATTCAAAATTTCTCAAATTTTTCATCCAGTTGAGGATTGAATTTGCCTTTCATCAAATCATTGTTTATATACATTAGAGTTACAAGTTATTTTCACAATTGGATGACAGGCCAGTTGTCCACTTAGATGACCACATCTTTGCAAAAATTTGTGAAAAAATTACATCGGTCAGTTGTCTTCCGAACATTCATCTAGCCAACCCGTGATTTGATAAAATTTCAAATCACTCCATTGGAACGCACGATATCAAATCAAGTTTTTTAATCAAATTTAAGTGAAATTTGATGAAAATTTTGAGTAAACCATTGGAGATGCCCTTAGGCATATCCGGTGTTTATTAATTTATTTGATATCTGATATCATGTTCTAACCGAGGTTTTTGATCTTTCATCAAATCACTGACCGGGCGAACGACCGAGCAATTGTTTGGCCGATCGACCAGCCTGTGAAGCCCCTGAAAAATGTATTCTCTTTAAAAAAACCCTTACGTTTGAATTATTTCCTTAAAACTCCTTAGTTCGTAAATTATTTCGAATCTTGCCGGTTAGCATTCTTAATTTTTATCGGAATAAGAATATCTTAGCCGAATTAGGTTCCTTAGCCTAATATAATTTAATTCTACATGAATAAGGTTCCAATACATGAGTTTAATTTCAAGCCCTCACTTCTTTTATTAATTTTAAGATTTGCTCCAAACTAGTACATGTACTTTTTACACTATAGTACCACCAAATCAATTTGTGGATCTATATATATATTGGGAATATCTCCATAGTACACATATATTGAATAGAATATTCTCCATTTTCCTTCCCCATGGCCGGCCAACCTAGGAGAGTGTAAGGAATCAATTTTCAAGTAGGGATGGCAATTTAAATCCGGCCCGACGGGGACCCGACCTCCCGACCCCGATTAATACGGTTTTTCCCCGAAAAATACCCCCGACGGGCCGGGGATGGTATTAAAAAAAAAATCCCCGGTCACTTTCGGGCCGGGGACGGTGATAAGAAATTCCGCTGGCCCCGCTCCCCGTCCCCGTTTCTGCCCCGCCTAATATATATTAATATTATGCACTGCACTCATCTCTCTCTAATATAATATATTATGTACTCATCTCTCTCTAATATATATTATATGCCCTCTCCTACCTACCCACTGATATAGGTACCCATTGATATATATCAACTCTCTCTCTCATCTACTAATAATCCCAAAACAAATACACCTCCTCTCCTCTCTCTCATTTCGGATCGATCTCTCTCCCTCTCTGCCGCCATGATCGATTCTCTCTCAAGCTCTCACTCTCGCACTGTTCTGCTCTCTCACTCACTCTCGCACTGTCCGCGACGCCGATCGTCACTGTCCGCGATGCCGATCGGCCTCCTCCGTCGTCCATGGCCTCCTCCATCGTCGCAGTCACAGCCATCCATCGCCTCCGCATCTCCGATCGTCCTGCTCCTCCTTCGTCCACCACAGATCTGTATGTGTATCGTTCTCCATCTGTATGTATACATGTATGTATACACAGATCTCAGATCCGATCTGTCCATTTTTATTTTTATTTTTGGTTTATGATCTATTGATGATGTTGTTGATATGTTGATGTTGAAAATGATACATTGATGTTAATGATTCTGTTGATGATGTTGTTTGTTGTTGATGGTGGTGTTGAAACAGATTTGGGCGGCGGGGAATTTTCGGGTTCGGGGAAACCCGATCCCCGTTGGAGGCGGGGATGGGGACGGTGGTAGGTTCCCTGTCGGGGATCGGGGCCGGGGCCGGGGAGATTTTCACAATCGGGGATCGGGGACGGGGAGTGGGATCCCCGGCCCCGTCCCATCCCATTGCCATTCCTATTTTCAAGGCTTATAAATCATGGCATTCTAAAAGCAAAAGTACCAAGTACCCCTAAATGAAGAAATTGTGTTCCCAACTTAATTCCATTCCAATTAGAGACGAACTAAATCTTGTCTAATCACATAATTAAGTCCTTTAATCACTTCCTATTCTTTTAGACTCCAAGTTACTTTGTCTCCAAGGAAAGTTATTTTTCTTTTTCTCTAAGTACACCCCTTTCTTGTCTACCAAGTAAACTTTATTTTATTATTTTTCCTTTTCTTTTGTCCCAAGTATCCTTACCTATAAATTGAGCTCACATCTCAACCATTTTTATCATTCTTCTTCTTGGTCCATCCATATCTCTATCTCTCTCATATTGTTCTCTCTTAAATTATAGAAATTTTGAGTTTAGATTAAGAATGTATAAAGTGAGTGTAAGCATTTTCGTAACGGAGGAGAGTTGTAGATTTTGTGAAACCTTACATACCTTATGCCACTTTGGAGATTCATGGAAAAATATTAAGATTCGAGTGTTGGATATGGAGGAGATTGATTTGAGGAAATTCGGTAGTATATAATATGATTCTTTTAAATCTCTTTGCAAAGAGTTTATTTTAATTACTTCCAATTTGTAATCCCCTTGATTATTATGATCATTTGATAAATCATGTGAAATCATTCTATTGACACGTTTGAGTACTCTGGTCACTTGATAAATTCTATGAAGTTGTTTTATGTAGTCAGTATTGATTTGTCTAGCTAAATGGCATGGAAATGCTCTGTATATGACCTTGCCAATAGCTTGCACCAATAGCTTGGGTGAGGTGGTTGAGGCCGGCCACTGGTTATGTACCGAGTATGACCAGGTATTTGGTTCTGGATAAATTATTTTATGTCGAGTTGACTTGTTTGTGCAATTTGGTAAATTGCTTGATTATCGAATCTAATTGGTTGTGCAATTGTTTGATCTCTGTTGATTTATTTTCTGTCCGAGCCTTGTTATTCCTGTTGTATTGTACACTTCCTAAATTAATTTATTTTTCAAGCATGGAGCAAATTTAGTGGCGATTGGGGTTGAAGCATCTAAAGAGATTATTTGAGTTGGAGATTTTTTTTAGTCCACAACTATATATTGTTTTTGGAAATTTGTATAACTTATGTTTTGGAGACATTTGAGTTAATTATTTATGGAGACGATTTGTATATTTGAGATTATGAGTTATCTGTAATTATAAATTTGAGGTTGATTTGATTTATTAGCGGCTCAGAAGTTGGGGCGTTACACAGCTAGTATAAATTATCCAATTTAAATTGCAATGAAGTGGATGTCCGAGGGAATAACTGGCCGGTCGTCCAGTTTTCTTACACTAACGACTATTTACAGTAATTTGATAAAAGCTTTCACTATTTCTCAATTTGATGAAAACTTTAAAGAAAATGATTGAGACAACTAATTAGTGGTAGCACTAATAATGTGGCACAGTGTTGCTGTGCTCTTTTTTTTAGTGTGTGCAACTCACTAATGGTGCTTTAAAGTACCAGTATCAGTGATATGTATCATTGACCAAAGCTTTAATCATCCTCAATTTAATATCAAACTAAAGACAATGTGGGAGCATGATTTTGATTAATTTTTCATTAAATTTAAATTTAGTAAAAGAAAAGGTGAAATTTTAGAGATAGCTTAACACTATCTAATAATAATAATAATAATAATATGAAGTAATATTGATTAGCGTGAAACATTCCTTGTGGCACGGGCTTAACAAGTATTTCGCAATTGTGAGCGTCTCAATTTTTGCTGTTCAACTACAAGTTTATTAAAATTGACCTCCTTTAAAAAAAATTAGAGATCAGCCAAGTTAATTAAAAAAAATACTAATGAATCACACTTTTTGTACAGACAATAAAATCATATGAATTTTTATGATTTTCAAAACAAGATAATCCGAGATAAAATTTTTGAGTAAGCCATCAATAGGAAGAGATTTAAGAAAAATATAATCAATCTCACATTAAAATGATCGAAATTAATTCAGATAGTGAGCAGTTATTGAAATAAATAAATAAATATATATATATATATATATTAATAAATAAATAAATAAATAAATAAATAAATTTTAATAAAAAATATATGATAATATATATTTTATTATTTCTGATATTATTGATAAAAGATGAGACTAATTTCTAAAATTCACGAAATGTGAGGGTACTTTATTCATTTTTTGATAAATTACCCACTCAATTCTGTAGACTAAATTTCAAGGTAAAAATCGAAGCAGCAAACTGTGTTTGGCAAGTGGGTTTGCAGGTTTTTTTTGGTTATTTTAGTCACAAAAAATAAAATAGGCTATTTTAACCATAACAAACAAAACATCACATCCAACTCATAATCATTACATTCTTCTCTCATAAAAAAACTCAAAAAAGCCAAAAAGTCAAAAAACCCTTCCCAAACCAAACTTTTAAGCCCAGACTAAAATAGTCAAAAAAGTCAAAAAGTCAACCCACTTTCTAAACCAAGCCTTAATTTAAATAATAAAAAAAGGACAAAAATCGAAAGAGTGCTGTTATGGTGTACAACCCCTTGCACACTATATGCAACCAACACAAAAGATATAAGTGAAAGATATAAACATAAAACAGAACAGTAAACAAAAAGACGTAAGTGTAAGGTATAAGTCACACAGTTAATAAAAGTCCAAATCGAAATAGCATACCGTATTATATATCATGCCGTTCTAATCTGCAAAATTGCAAAAACAGCCCCGATTTCAAGATATATATATCTACACACCCAGCAAGTCCATACATGATTAGCTAAACCCTGAGATGGCGCCATTGAAGTCTCTGGAGCAGCAGTATCCCATAATCGACTCCAATTTTCAGCAGTTTTGTGCTTCTCATGGCATTTTCTCAGGTCTACTTTCCTTACTTTCTCTTTTTCCCTTTGTAATTTTCTCGAGAAAAAACTAGTATTACTGTTCCTTGCATTTCTTCACCTTCAACTGTTTTCATCTTTTAAGTCTTAACACCCCCACAGAAAAAAGGGTCAGTTGGGAATCTTGTGTTTAGCCCTAGAATGGGATTTCAATATGCTGTTTTATTTTCCATTAGCCTTGTGTTTGGTTGCTAGGAAAATGTTGAAAAGAAAACCGGCAAAAAGTCTGATCTTTAAGATTTTTATTTTCTGAGAACAAAAACCCTTCACCGAACGAGTATTATAAAATCTGCCCACTGTCCTGGTGTCTCCTACAAAGATGGCTTGGTTATTGTGGAAACAATAGGATAGAGGATTTAAGTAATGGTATTGTGCAATGCAAGGTAGGTTTTTAGGTTTCAAAATATGTGTTTCAGTTAAGAATTTAAAAATCTAGCTTAGACAATTTGTGGCATTTGAGCGAAGAGGCAAAGAGTGAAGCATCTAAGACTTGAGTAGAAGTTGTGTCCTCTGCCATTGTGTTAAGTGAAGAAGCAGCCGTGTGATGGAAGTGTTTTAGAGTTGAGCAATAGAGTGGCAGGCTCGTATCATCAAAGATGGAGCTGTGTCCAAGCACGCCAAGCAAGCGGCCTTAGAGTTGCTTGCTTCATAAAGAACGAGCAGCCTTGTGGAGGATGGCTGCCTGAGTAAGCTACGTAGGAGATCGAGATACATCATACATATGCCTATAAACTTGAAAAAATCTAGGCCTTTAATAGTAAAGATTCCAATGGATTGTTTCATCTAGTAACCTCACCACTTTAAGTTCTTGAATTTGATATTGGTCAATTCATTGGCTTCCATCTTAACAATTTTCTGCCATGAACTTTGTATATATACGACCATTTTTGTTAAATAGAAAATCAAATCATGAGTGTTTTGCTAAAAAATAATGAATCACGAATCATAAAATTCACTTAATTTAGCACAATATTTAATTTTATATATATAAATAAATGAAATAAATATCAATATATATAACTAAATTATTATTTTTTAATTTTGCGAAAATGACACTATTTCTTGAATTTTGCACACAAAATTGAATTGTAGTGATTCATCAGTGAATCGCAATGATTCACCATTTCATACAATTCACTCAATTTAAGATTCAACAACAAGAATCAAATTGTTTTGATTGGAACTTCTATCAAATCATATAAATCGAATCGTAAATCGTAAGATTCTATGACATAAAGTTTTTGGAGTATGAAGGGCCATGCTATATACAGATATCAATATGCCTCACTAATTAATCGTACTCTAATTTTTTCTGTATCTGTTTCCATGCAGTGGAAGACTTGCTCATTCATGACCTATATGTATTAGTTGCTTTAGCAGAGCAATATCCTACTTCAGAGAGATTGAAGCAGGTTAGCTATTTGATGGAAAATTTGCTTCAGTTCATCGGTATATCAAAGTATCCTAGTATTATATGTGCACTTTCTTGTAAATAGGGCATTACCCAGGCCCTCTCTATTATAGATGGTCGGCATCAACCGTGGTTGAATGGTACGGAGTTGTTGGAAGATGCTCAACAGAATAAACACATCCTATCTACTGGATGTGAAAGGTATATTGGGCCTCACCACTGCTATATGCTTTGGCTGCGGTAACAGTATGATACAAATCAACAACTATCGTTTGAACCAGGATTGATATGCTTCTTCATGGCGGGTTACGTGAGGGGCATCTAACAGAACTGGTTGGTCCGTCGTCATCTTATAAAACACAGGCATGAATCCATTCGCTCGCAACTGAAGTTATCCAAACTTTCCTAGTTAGTTTTGATTAAATGTGCTTCTGAGTTATGTTATTAAGATGTTATTAGTTTTGCTATCATTAAATTATTATTGTATGCTTGCTTGACCTACATTTGATCACCATTACAGTATCGATGATACAAAATCTTATAATTGTTTAGGTTTGCCTACAAGCTGCCTCAAATGTTGCGAAAATGGGGGAAGTTGTATTCTTAGACACAGGCAACTCCTTTTCACCTAAACGCATTGCCCAGTTTCTCACATTAGATCCTGCTGACAAAGAGGTCAGATATTTTTAGGATTATATTGCTCAACCAACTGCCTTAAGCTAAGTCTGACAATGAATAACAACAATACATAATTAATGTACGAATCTCTGTATGATACCTGCAAAACTTGGCTCAAGTTTAATGTTTTTCTGTGTCTTTCTTGCAGGGCAACCACACTATTCTTCAAAAAGTTTTGAAGAACATAGTATGTTACTCTGTATATGACATTTTCACGCTGTTGGACGTGTCACATCAGCTGAAGTCCAATTTGACATCTCAGGTTTATTAAAATGAAACACTTTTTTTTCTTTCTTCTTCTGTTATTGTCCATTTGAAAACTGGTTCGGCTGCAGACAGGTGGTCAGGTGCGGCTGCTTATTGTTGATTCGATTTCATCACTTATCACCCCAGTTCTTGGAGGCAGTGGTTCACATGGTATTTTTTATATCTCTATATATATATGACACTTTACTATTAGAAAGGATTATGTTCTGCGTACCAAGTGTGCTTTCTAATGGAAAGGATGATGCACTCGGATGGAGGGAAAAGGAAAGTCTGTGATCATGTATAGATGCTTTTTCTTTTACTTCTTTTTAGTTTTTATTTAAAGAATTAGGTTCATTCATATGTTTTCATATGTCAAAAGCATCATTGATGTGTTTGAAGAAACTAATGGGCTTATGTTTGACTGGTAATTACAGGCCGTGCTTTGATGATTTCTGCTGGATCATTTCTAAAGAAGTTGGCACACGAGCATAACCTTGCTGTGCTGGTAAGTAGTGCACTAGAAATTACATTAGCATCTTCTTGCACTATGAAAAGTGTTCACTTGGTATAATCATTCTACTTTGTCTTCATTCCCAGAGGTAATATTTTCAATTGATTATAATAATAAAATATAGTATATTCAATTAGTGGGTAATTAGCTCACCAGGATGTCAATAAAGAAAACCCTGATCAGATTCTTGAAGTTTATGAACTTGTATTCAAATGATTGCTTAGAAGTGTAATTGTATGGTATAATACCAAAATTATGTTTACATTTAGTTATTGGCTGAACTGTAGAATGAGAATCACCGTTCTGAACATGTTAAAAATTTCAAATGCCTATTAATCTCTGATGGAGATAAATTGATATGGATTAATGTCCTTCCCATATAGACAACTCATATGTTTCTAGTAATTTGTCTTCTACAATTTTTTGAGTGTTGAGTTCTATTCTAGGCAACACTTAAAGATCAAGATTATTTTTCATTCATGATTGATGTAGCCTTTTTTTTCATTAGCACCAGTTAGCAGTTCTATCTTCTGATTTCATGAATGCGGTTAGGCAAAAACCTACTTTCCATGTTGGTTTTTGCTACTTGTTTTTGATTAACTCGTGAAAAACTGGTTTTAACTTCAAATTTTGGCCTAGGGTCATATTTTCTGTTGTATTATTTACTGCAATTCACTAAGTTCCCATTCAACCAGTCCTACTCTAGTCTGATCTGTACTTATGGAAGATGAAAATGTTAAAATATTTCTTTTGAATTGGATATTGATTGATCTAGCCTTTCAAAACAACATGTTCCATCATTATATCTATGTATTTGCTAGCAATTGCTTTTGTAAAGTTTATTTGGAAACATATGCTCAAGGTGACCAATCATATGGTGAGTGGAGAGGGAGGTATTCACAAGCCAGCGCTTGGAGAGAGTTGGAAGACCATCCCGCATGTGCGGCTTCAGCTGTCCCGTGAACACGGAACCAACGTTTGCAACATGTGCATACTTAGACACCCAAACATGGTATGTTCCGTCTCTATACTGCTAACTATTATAGGAAGGAAAGACTAGGTGCAATATTAAAATTTGGTGAAGCTATGCCACTCTGATCTTTCTATTAACTGAGAGGGTAAAGATGTGAAATTAAATATAGACTAAATGGATAAATATGTAAAATTACTACTAATTGAAGGAGAAAAATATAAAACAAAACTTCATAAAGAGCATGGGAAGTAGGTTAGTGAGAGAAAAAGTAGGAATATGTAGGATACAGGGAGAATTGTTTGGTTCCATTTTTTCAAAAATATTTTTTAGAAAATTCTACTTTCTTATTTTTTGTATTTTTTTGTTTTTACTGATTTTTTTTAATATTTCAAGCAATTTTTTTACTTTTTAGACATACCTAACATAAATATACCTAAAAAGTAAAAAAATTGTGAAAAATACTTTTTAAAAATTCACTAAATATCAAAAATACAAAAAAAAATACGAGAATTCAGTATATTTTTTTAATATTTTTATGTATTTATTAATTTTTTAAAATATTTTTTCAAAATTCTTTTTACTTTTTAGATACATCTAAGTAAGTTGTATCTAAAAATGTAAAAAAATTGTTTAAAAATTTAAAAATATTCATTAAAAACAAAAAAATACAAAAACCAAAAAACTCAATTTTCAAAAAATTTAATTCAGAAAATTCAAACCAAACACACTGGATGAGATTGGTTAATAAAATGTAAATAATAAATATATAAAATAAAACCACATTATTTAGTTAAGTTAACTAAAAAAAAGTAATATTACTTAATAAAAATTATTTTTATTTTTATTTTTTTTTAATTGACGCACTCATCTTAACTACGTGCCAACCTTCTAGTATTCTATGTTGTAGTCTCTTATTATGTTTACAATCAATATTTGCCTTTTATGTTACACGGCTGAAATACACCTCAAAAACCTGAACTACAGGGGAATAAATTGTGCCATCGGGCATTATATTGCATTAAACGTTCCTCTGTTTACACCCCTTTGTATTGACTATGGTTTTCGTATTATTTGTTGTTCTTTCTCAGGCTTCTGGTAAGGCAGTGAAGTTTATAATTTCATGAGTGGTCCATCCGAAATTGTACTGGGATTTGTAAAGGAATCAAGAGGCGAAATCGTGTAAAAATACAGTAGCTGTAATGAAATATATCTTAGAATAAGTTCAAAGGGCATTTACTTGTAAGGTTTTTTTTTTTTTTTTTTGGGTTGATAATTTCGTTTTATTTTATTTGGTTTCTATCTCTACTTCATTTTCAGATCTTTGTATTTTTTCAGGAAGGGCAATGCTAGGGATATCAAATTTTTTACCAAATAAATGACTGAATATCTCACATGGGTGTGGGGTTTGTAATTTTGTGAATCCCACATGTGAGACATTTGATTATTTATTTGGTAAAAAATTTGGGATCTATAGCATTTTTCTTATAGTAATTGAACATGTAAGTGAGAATTGGAGATTATAATGAGTGTTTTAGCAAATCGAATTTTGTTGACAAGGAAATGGTGACAATTGTGGAGTATTATGCAATTTTTTTTATGTTTATTGATTTAGTTTTTCATTTTCTAATGAAGGATTAAATAGCTTCTCCCTTTTGAGTAAAAAGTCAATTTGAATTTTATGTAAAAGCATTGGAGATAAAAATAATAATAATAATAATCAAATTTAATGAAAAGGAAATTTTGGGATCAGAGAGAAATTTTTGAAAGAATTTCAATAAAAAGATTAGAATAATTTATATCAAATTAATTTTTTTTTTTACTGGAGACATCAAGATCTTTAGTTGGTTTCTGGTGAAACTTTGGCAATATTCCATTGATTTCCTTTACATTTTCGAAGTGTAGATCTATCCTTCTCAAGTATAGTTCTGCAGCTTTAGAATGTAGATTTGGATCTTTTATGTTCGGAAAAAAGAATTTTGTGAGTTTTCCTTTTGCTTTCTACATAAATTTTTGGGCAGCGATGGCGGGAATAGGGGGCTTTGAGGCAGTTCTTGTTTTCAAGATCTCATCTATGAATAGTTCGGTGATGTTCTCTGATTTTGACGGCTTTGTTGGTTTGTTTGTTTTCTTCTTCTCTGTTTTGTTATACCGGTGGCCTTTTGCTACTTCCTTTGTATGTTGTTGTTTTTTTAATAATACTGTGTTCCTTGTCCTAAAAAAAAAATAAAATTAAGAATTAAAAATTGAATTAGATAATTTAAAAACAAAAAATTTGTAAAAAAAAAAAATAACTAGGGTTTGGAGATGGTCTCATGTCTTCACATTTGAATGGTTAATAGATCTGGTGACGTGACTGAGTTGGCAGGGGCCAAGCCAACGTTTCATAGCTCTTGTGCAAAAAGTTGAATGAAACGTAACTCTTGATTGAATTCAATGATCACTTGGAGACCCGAACCAGTGAATCAGACACTACTACAAACCCTCATATTTCACCATTTCAAATCCACCAAACTCATTCCTTCTCTACCTTACCACACTCTTCGTCGTCCCAACAGCAGACCCAGAACGAGTCCTCGCAGCCAACAATCTCATCACAAACCACCACCAAATCTTCTTCGCAAACCAATACCTTTCGTCACCGACCTCAAACAACTTGAAAACCCAGATGAAGCCCTCTCTCTCTTCAACCACTATCGCGAAATGGGTTGCAAACACCACTACCCATCTTACTCTTCTCTCGTTTACAAGCTTGCCCGTTCGCGCAACTTCAAATGCGTCGAAGCCCTCCTTTTTAACATTCGGGACCACAACATTCGATGCAAAGAAACCCTTTTCATTGCTTTGATTCAACATTACGGGAAGTCCCAATTGCCCCAGGACGCTATTGAGCTGTTTCGCCAAATGGATTCTTTCAATTGTGTCCGTACTTTACAGTCTTTCAATGCCCTTCTCAATGTTCTTGTTGATAATGGGAGGTTAGAGAATGCGAATGAGATGTTTAAGGGTTGTTCCAAATTGGGTTTTCGACCGAATTGTGTTTCGTTTAATGTCATGATCAAGGGGTGGCTTGAGAGGGGTGAATGCGAACAAGCTCGCAAAGTGTTTGATGAAATGCTCGAGACACAAGTTGAACCCAGTGTAGTAACTTATAATAGTCTGATTGGGTATTTGTGCAAGAAAGGTGACTTGGATGGGGCTAAGAGTCTACTCCACGACATGACCCAGAAAGGGAAAAAACCCAATGCAATCACGTATTCGTTGTTGATGGAGGGTTTGTGCTCATTGGGTAAGCATAAGGAAGCGAAAAAGATGATGTTTGATATGGAGTATCAAGGGTGTAAACCAAGACTTGTAAATTATGGTGTTTTGATGAATGACCTCGCAAAGAGAGGGATGATTGAGGAAGCCAAGGCTTTGATTCTTGAGATGAAGAAAAGGCGGTTTAAGCCAGATGTCGTGACACACAATATACTGATCAATTACTTGTGTAAGGACGGAAGAGCTTCTGAGGCTTACAAAATCTTGGTGGATATGCAGGTTCAAGGTTGTGAGCCAAATGCAGCCACATATAGAATGATGGTTGATGGGTTTTGTCGGGTTGAGGAGTTTGAGGAAGGTTTGAAGGTTTTGAATGCAATGTTGATGAGTAAGCACTGTCCACGTTTGGAAACGTTTTTCTGTTTGGTTAGGGGACTAATCAAGTGTGGCAAGGTGAATGATGTTTGCTTTGTTTTGGACGAGATGGAGAAGAAGAAAATGAGATTCGATTTGGAGTCTTGGGAAGTGCTGGTTAGGGATGCTTGTGGTGAGGATGGAGGTGCAAGCGGTCTTGTGACTGAACTGATCTCTGCTCTTTAGTAGGCGGCTTCATGGAATCTGACTTACTGATCCATGGCAACTGGAAATGTATTATCTAGCTTACCTATCATGTGGTGAAATTGATCTGTTGACTGGTTGGGAAACTGTACGCTGCTCTTGCAACATAGCATTCTGGACCTTAGGGTTCTTTCGTTGGTCTTTTCCTAGTTTCGGACTATTATTGGCTGTTTTTTTGCCGGTTCAGTTCCTTAGTAAATGGCCATTTTCAGGTACAAAATGAAAGGCCACAGATTATGGAAAACATTGGATTTATTGTTGATAGATTGTTTATCAGGTAGACTGTAGACAATAATCAACCATTAAGTTTGACATCCAAATTTCCTACAAAATTGGAGGAAACCCAATTAGTGCTTGGAGCTGGTAGACTTCATCAACTGTTCAATCCATGATCTAATTATGAACGGAGACAAGGGCACTTGAATATCTGGCATGCAAGTGAGCTTACTGGTCTCAAAATTGTTATTCAGATCTGTGAGATAACGACTGTGCATTGATCAATAAGATGAATAAATGTATCAATCAAAACTAAAGATTTATGGCTATTTACAGGTGCTTCCAAGAGTAATAACATGACCGGGAATTTTGTATTGTAGTAAGTTCAGAACTGTGGGAAGAGGAAAAGATATGTACATGCGATCCCCTCATTTTATCTGGTTTCATTTAATATTATTGACTGATTTGTTTAATGCTCAAAGCTGAACACAAAAAGTCCAACATATAGAAATTGGGGTCCTGATGATTGATGCACGGTTCACGTTGCTGTGTATGCAAAGCACTTATGCAGGTATGTACGGTTCACGTTGCTGTGTATACAAAGAACTTATCTATGCAAAGCACTTGATTTCATGTGTAATCTTCTTCAATAATCGGAATGTTTGCAGATGTTATAAACTTGTTAATTATTGTGTTTACCAGATAGTGGTGGAAAGAGATTGTAGATTTTAAGATGATAACTTTTGGGGTGGACTTTGTAGTTGCCTAAATCAATACACAAATCACTAAAAAAAAACAAAACAAAAATAAACATTTGTGTTACCTTTTACCTTTCTTCAAGATGCTAATACATAACAGTCTCTATCTGGATTTCATTTGGGTAGAGAAATGTATCAAAAGCACAGTGCGAGTCTGTGTACTCAAAGTGTCAAACTGACTGAATTTTCATTTTCAGGAGTTATTTACTTTGGAGATTGCACATGTGCACACTGCTAGTTACAAATAATTCTACCACCTGATGTAAGTACAGAATTTTTTAGGAATAAAATACATACACCACTTAAAAGGTGGTGAAGATGTGTTTCCAAGGTTCTGCTCACGCCAAATATTTATTTTATTGTTTTTTTGGCTTCACATGTGCACACTGCTAGTTACAAATAATTCTACCATCAGGAGTTAATTATTTGGCTTCACATGTGCAATGCAGGATGATGGTACAATAATCTAGAATGTGGCCTTGTTTGATGAATTTTGAAAAATCAAAAAGCGTGACAGAATTTGTATTCACACCAAATTGGGCGTACACATTGTATAATATTATAGATATTTAGTTATTACGTTGTAAACAATCGGTAGGGTAAAATAAGGGAAGTTGCATGGGGTAGCTGTGAGACTCGAACCCCTATATCATGCCCGGTAAGTAAGCGCCTCATCCACATGTGAAGCCAACCCCTTTGGTATGGAGTCAGTTTTGAGCAAAGTCATCTTAGGCGGTGTTTTTTTTGGGCAGACTAGATTAAATTAGATTAGCGTTCTTGAGACTATTAGTCATAGAATTATCGATCCCTTTGGATTGTGTATCATATCTCATTGTTGGATTAGTCAAACGTGCAATTATGTATTTTGTTGGATTAATCCAATCACAAAGCCATATCGGCCGAAACCCAAACAAAAGTGGCGTAAGTGGAATAGGTCGAGCCCAGCATTGGACTTCTGGTTTTGACGCTCAATATATTGTGACAAAAAGGGGGGGATTTTTTTAAATTGTTTGGTTTTATAAACTTGTGTCAGCAGGTTATAACAAACACACCCAGAAGTGTGAAATCACAAGTACCTACTCCATCTCATCAACTCCATCTTATTTTTCTAAGTTTAGCTCTTCAGATTCACAGTATATATATACCCAACCAAATTATCACAACCCATCATCACCATTCCAACAAAATACTCTCAACCTTAGTACTCTCAAGAGCTCCCCAAATCTCCTGTGTGTAACTCATGGAAAACCATCCGCTCAAGGCCATAATCTTCTCACTTCTCCTAGCCCTCACAATTAGAGGTGGGAGTGCGACCCGAATCCTCAATGAGGATGAGGAGGTACTGGCTGTCCCCACTATTGCACCTGTGTTACCCACTGTAACTCCTCCTGGGGCTATCGCTCCAGTTGCTGCTGCTAGCACTGTGGTGGGCCTTGCAACCCCTGACCATCCCTTCACCTTCTTCCTACATGACATACTTGGAGGCTCGAACCCCTCGACTAGAGCCGTGACAGGCATTGTAACCAACCCAGCCGTCAATGGTCAAGTCCCGTTCGCCAAGCCTAACGGCGCAGTCCTCCCCATTAACAATGGTGTCCCTACCGATAACGCCAATAGCGCAGTTATCAACAATAACAACGTCCCCTTCCTCACCGGGCTGAGTGGAAACACTCAGAACGTGATTCAAAACAACGGAAACAACAACGTTGTCAATGGCGGTGGGTTTGGATTCCCAGCCTTGAATGCTGCCCAGCTCCCTTCAGGGTCTGCGCTTCAGAAGCTCATGTTCGGAACACTGACGGCTTTCGACGATGAACTGACTGAAGGGCACGAGTTGGGGTCCGGTTTGGTTGGGAAGGCTCAAGGGTTTTACGTGGCGAGCTCGGAAGATGGTAGTAGCCAGACCATGGTTTTCACGGCTATGTTCGAGAGCGGCGGTTATGTTGATAGCCTATGCTTCTTCGGTGTGCACCGGACGGCGGTGTCGGAATCCCAACTGGCCATCATGGGTGGGACCGGAAAGTTTGTGAATGCTAAGGGATTTGCAACTGTGAAGACTTTCCCAGCTGCCAATCAGCACAACACTGATGGAGTGGAGACTCTGCTGGAGATCACTGTGTATCTCACTTATTAGTGTTATGTTTGGATTGAATTGTGTTTGTTTCTTGTGTGTTAAGATCTCTTTGTGAGATGTTTCAATGATAAAAATTCCCATGTTCTTGTTGAAATTTGTTGCAGTTTGAGAGCACACTATGATTTCAATATTACAGATATGTTTTCAATATTACAGAAAATGTTATTCGTTGAAAAATATTTTTACAGAAATAAATGGAGCATTGGGACAAAAAAATATTGGATAGGATAGCTGAAGAAAAGGATTTGATTTAACCTAGTAGAAAAGAAAACAAATTTTAATTTAGCAAAGAGTCAAACTATACAACGATGTTTTTGCTCTATAAAAAAAATGAAAAAAAAAATAGAAGGTTACTGGGATGAGAAAAAGAAATTATTGTGACGAGATTTTTCACAAAATTTATGTACTGCTTAAAAAAAATGTCAAACTGATCTTCAAAAAAATAAGCCTTTTAAATTTGTTTTGAGTTGAAAATCTGAAATTTTTTACCAACACTTGAGTACAATTGTTTAAACACAAAATTTCAAAAATTTAAACAAAATAAGTTGTAAATAAGTTTTGGCAAATGGGATTTAACAAAAAACCTATTTATTTTGTTAAAGAATTGAAATTTAACGCCTAAACAGTAATATTTTGAAAAATCAGACTAACATTTGATAAAGTTCAAAATTTTTCTTGTCAGGTTTAAGCATTATATATGTCTTATTATTATTATTTTTTCCTTGTCATAGTAATGCTTAAAATTTGGAGAATAATTATTAGCAGATCTTATTTAGTAGATTTATTTACTAATTAGTCTTGAGTATTTTTCTTTTACGTATTTGCCCATTGTTCTGATAATCAAAAAAATTTCAAACTTTTACATTTGTTTTTTGTTTGTAAAATGATCATTTGGTACAAATAATAATACTGATAAATTTATCAAAATAATAAATAATTGAGATATTTTGATTTCAAAAATATTATAGACCTCAAATAAATTATTAAATATTCTACACAATACATAGATGTAGGATTGCTCTTTTGAATTTTGTTTGTAAGTTTTAATTTATTTGTATTAGCTAGTTTGTATAAACTGGTACTAAATTTGGAGAGAGGATTTAAAATTGAAAATAATTAACTATCTTTTGAATTTTGTTTGTAAATTTTAATTCATTTGTATTAGTTAGTTGGTTTTTTTTGTTTTTTTAGATGGTTAATTTGTATTAGTTAGTTTGTATAAACTATGCTAAATTTGGAGAAAGGATTTAAAATTGAAAATAAAAAGGTTGAAGTTGGCCCATTGGGAACGGAGTTTTGGATTAAAATAGTTAACAAAGTAAAATGTTATATTGAAATTATAATTATTTCAAAATTTTTTTTTTACAACTATGAAAAAAAAAATCAATTATCTTTCAAAATATAACTTTTTAAAATAATCAAAAAATCAACTAAAATAACCACCTTCTTAAAAGAGCTAAAGGTGAATGGGTTAGATTGGTTTAGAATTATTCTTAGGCCTCTTTTGGATATTTAACTTTTAGTCACGTTTGTGCGTTTGTAATAAAAGTTAAAAGTTGATATTTTTTTATTTAAAGATATTTGGAAAGTTGGTTTTCAGCCACTAGTAAAATTACAATTCTATCCCTCATGGGTCAAAATGTGTTACATGGGTAAAGTTGTAAATATTTTAAATTAAATAGAGATAATTTGATCATTTTATTGTGATTTGACATCATAAATAAATATTAATTCAAAAATTCAAAAATAATTTTTTACCAACTTCTCTAATCACTTGTCTAAAAAAGGTCAAAAATTTGATTAAAAGTCAAAAAAATTACTTTTTAACATCTTCTCAAAACAGCTCTTAAAATTATGGGTTGGGAGACTTGGACAGGTTACTTATGTCTCGTTTGGAGACTTAAATATTTTAATGAAAAAGTTAATATAAATTATCATATTATTTTTTAATTTTTTTTATATATTTTTATAAAAAATTAAAAAATTATCTGTTGCCCCGTAGCCCACATTCACTCCGCACGTGCAAGTTAGTAGGCACGTGTTCGATTCGTCTTCTTCTGCTGCTCGCTGTGACTTTAGAAATTAGGGTTTTGAAAATACTGATAATTAACACTGCCGTCGAGAACGAGCGAGAGAGAGATACAGAGAGGACCAGGAACAGGAAGACAAACGCCATGGGTAAGAAGATGAAGATGAAGATGAACATAGTTCTTGTTTTGTATAAATATGTGTTTATATATTATATGTGTAAATTACGATGAATCTTTTGTTTCTTCATTTGCTTTTTTTTTTTTGGATAGCAAGGATCAAGGTTCACGAGCTGAGACAGAAGTCCAAGGCAGAGCTGTTGGCCCAGTTGAAGGATCTCAAAGCAGAACTTTCTCTCCTCCGCGTCGCCAAGGTCACCGGTGGTGCCCCCAACAAGCTCTCCAAGATGTACTCTTTCTCTCTCTCTCTCTCTCTCTCTGCTTATATATATATATATATGCAGATGTATAATGATGTGTTCATTTGAAATTGGCTTCTTCATTTCTTCCTATTTCATACTTAAAACTATCAATTTTATCTATGTAGTAGTCCATTCAGTTTCTAATTTCAGTTAATGTGGTTCAATTGGGCATGAGTTCACTGATATTGATACATATTCCGATACATTTATTTGAAACCATATGATTGGGAGAAAAAAAATAAATAAATAAATAAAACAAAACCAAAACACCCTTGAACGATCTTATTTTTTTATTCATTTTTTTGAAACTAGGGGTGGAGAAGATGGGTTTTGGTTGTAGGATGTAAGTGTCTAATATAGTGTGAGTAAGAAACGAGCATTTAGTTGTATGATTTAGGTTGTCCGAATTGGAAACATATTTTTGCCTATTAGCTTAGGTTTCCATCATTTTTGATTAAGTAAATTACAAATGCACTTTTTGAGATTTGCTTAAAATATGAATGGCTGCCTGTGATTCTCAAAATGACATCTTGCCCCTTGAGAGGCAATCTGTATTTAAGCAAACCATAGGGGGTAATCCGTATTTTAAGTAAAATTGACAAGTGTATTCGTATTTTACCCTTATTGATTTGGACGGACTATATCCAATGTGACTATATGAACTGAAATTGGAAAATTTAGGAACTAAATATAAAATTGATAGTTTAGGGATTAAATAGAAAAAAATGACTATTTTAGGCGGGGATAAAAGTGAAATTAACCCTTTGAAATTTGGATGGTTGTAATGGATGGCAGAAAGGTGGTGAGGTTGTCAATAGCGCAAGTGTTGACGGTGATCTCACAGAAGCAGAAATCGGTTCTGAGGGAGGCCTACAAGAACAAGAAGTACCTTCCCCTTGATCTTCGTCCCAAGAAGACCAGAGCCATTCGGAGACGCCTCACCAAGCACCAGGTACTAATCTTCCATTGCTGTTCATTCACTCCACTTGCTGAATTTTACCTGTTTTTTATTTGTTAAAATTGACCCTTAATTGGATATTAATGTTGGATTTTCTGTGTTGTGATGTTGTGGGACTGTGCCTGTGTGATCTCTGAACAATGCCATAGATAGATGTGACATATCGGAATGGGTTGTGCCCATCTTTCCTGCACCCAATATTTGTCTGTTAACACTGAATTGCCTTCGCAGCTCTTTATTATCAATAATTGTTAAAAAATACTCTCATTTTCTGGGAAAACAATGGGGGCTTGTAATGGTTTTTGTTATCTTTCTAATCTCACAATGCATTTGCAAATTATGTGAGTTTCCCATTGCCCAACAGAACTAGCGAAGCACTTTTGAATTCGATACGTAGGCTTGGAAATGATTGCAATATGTGTAGGGCTGTCAACAAACCTTTAAGGCTTGGAAGTTAACCTCAGCTTCATGTCAAAGCTCATTCTTTGTCTTGCTTACTAAGCAAAGCCTGGTTCGGGTACAATTGACAAATTTTTTTTTTTTTTTTTTTTTTTTTTTTTTTTTTTTTCATCACTTTACTGCATCTCTTTGGATTTTTTGGGTGAATTATTTAGGGGTCGTTTGTTAACGTTTTTGTTTCGTCTTCTCTGTTTTTGTTTTCACTTTTTTTTGAAAACTAAAAACAAAAATTTGTTTGATATATTGTTTTTGTTTTCAAAAAAACTTCTCTGTTTTTGTTTTCACTTTTTTTTGAAAACTAAAAACAAAAATTTGTTTGATATATTGTTTTTGTTTTCAAAAAAATGAAATTGATTTCAAAGTTTTCAAAATTTTTAAAAACACAAAAAAGTTGTTTTCACTTGTTTTTAGGCCTGTTTTGGGAACGTGCTATTTTCATAATTTTTTGATTTTTTATAAAAAAATGTGCATAAAAGTAGAAAGAGTGATGTGACAACTTATAGTGACTTTTTGACTAAAACTAAAAGTTGCCAAACGAGGCCTTAAAACACATTTTCACTTTCTCCTCTCACCTACCACCCTTGACTACCACCCACCTCTGCCATCATCGGCCCCCAATGACCACCACCTCCCATCACCAATGGGTGGCAAGTTCAAGCCAACCTCCGGTGACTCTCCGGTGGGTGGGCGGTCATCGTCGTGATCTTCGGCCACCTTTTGGCGTCCTTCTAGCCACCTCATGTCCTCTGACGACATTCAACCCCTGTGTCTTGCTAACACCTTCGATTACCTACCACTATCGGTCTATGAAGCATGGACACTTCAAAATTGGTGCCGTGGCAGTGTCCGACACGCTGACATGCCGGGGACACGCCGGGGACACGTACGGGACATGCCAGATGGCGTGTCTCTTTAATTTAATGATTTTTTTGGAAGCGGACACGTCGGGGACACGGCGGGGACACGCGTGTCCATATCTGGACACGCCATGGGACACGGCGGGGCTGTTTTTTGAATTTTTTATATTTATTTAGGGTCAAAGTATAATATTTAAAAAGTTTAAAAAAAAAAAAAACAACAACAACAACGTTCAAAGCCCTAATCGAACAACTAAGGGAGTAAAGGAGTAAAATCAGACCTGTGATGACCTTGTCTCTCTCAGTCGAAGCCCTCTCAAGTCGATCGAACCTCTCTCTCTCAGTCGCAGCCCTTCGAAGTCCATCGAAGACCTCCAATCCAGTCGTCTCAGTCTCTGTTTCAGTCTTTATGGGCTTATACATGTCAGTAGTCCCCCATTCCCGAGTGCAGCTTTAGTCCAACGAAGGGAATGCTAATGAAGAAGATGAGGGTGTTAGGGGTTGGTAGGATGGAGGTCGACCGGCAGGGGTGATCGAGAGGGTGAACCGACCGAGAGGTGGTCCGACCGTGCAGGGTGACCGAGTGGAAAGGCCGACCACGAGGAGGGCCGACCGCAAAGGGTGGCCAAGTGGGAGGGTCGACCACGAGGAGGGCCGACCGCGAAGGGTGATCGAGTGGGAGGGTCGACCACGAAGGGTGACCGAGTGGGAGGGTCGACCGCGAAGGGTGAGGTGGAGGGGTGTAGGGCTCGAGAGGCGACGTGTCACGTGGTGATTTGGAGTGGAAAAGACAGGGTAAGGGGAGGAGACTGTGAATCGTGGTTGTACACGTGGCAACATCCCGAGGGGGGGTGGGGGGAGATTAGGCGTTAGATCATAAATGAAACGATAGGTCATTATGGGTGTTGAAAAGATAGTTTTGGCGGATGATTTGAAAAGTTTTCAAACTGGCGAAAATCAATTGGGATCCTTTGAATACTGGCAAACCGTGGGCTTTTGGCATTATTCGATTCACCTACTTGTTTACGAAAAATTAAAATATTCCAAGTGTGAATTCCTTTGTTGCTCACGATACACCTTTGCAACACTTTTTCAATTTCCTTGCACCTGCATCCGAAGTGATTCGCAGACATACCATAGAAATGGCCTAAGAAGGAGCTGCGAATGTCAGGGTGGATCCACTTGGTAATGATGATGCAGTGGAGTTAGTGCAGCAATATAGGATGGAGAGGGTGGGGGAGTCGGTGGTACGATCCCGTGGTTCCACCATGAGAGCAACTCCAAAGCCAATCAGCCAGGCAGAACCAGATCACTAGCAAACAAAGGCAGATAGATCAACGGTGACTGCAGCGGATTTGGAGGCTATTCGCGAAAAATACCAGGTGTCTGCTGAAATAGAGTTATTGTTGCCGCTGTCGACGGAGAGGCCGTCCGATGCCAGGCTAGGGGAGTTTGCCCTTTATGAGGAAGAATTGAAGGGAGGATTGAGACTGCCCCTACCGCAAGTGGTGGTAGATGTCCTGAATCGTTTGGAGGTAGCGCCGGGCCAACTAATGCCCAATGCGTGGAAGATCTTATTGGCCTGTGCAAGTGCGTGGCCGAAGGCGAATGAAGGGGCGGCCATGACAGTAGACAAATTCTTTGCATGTTACAAGGCCTCAGGGCAGCAAGAGACTTGGGTCACTCTGCAGGCAGCAGCAGGGAAAGGGCTGGTGGCGGGGCTGCCGTCGTCGATCAAGGGGTGGAGACCACGGTGGTTCTATGTGTCTGCCAGTGGAGGGGTTGGAGTGCGCACCATTTGGAAAGTGCCCACCAAGTCTGTGGAGCCAAAGCTGGGAGCAG